GGAAGAGCAGTCAGTGCTCTTAACCACTAAGCCATCTCTCCAGCCCCCTTGTCCTCTTTTTTTTTTTTTTTTTTTTTTTTTGAGACAGGGTTTCTCTGTGGCTTTAGAGCCTGTCCTGGAACTAGCTCTGTAGACCAGGCTGGTCTCGAACTCACAGAGATCCGCCTGCCTCTGCCTCCCGAGTGCTGGGATTAAAGGCGTGCGCCACCATCGCCCGGCCCTTGTCCTCTTTTTTGAAACAGGGTCTCTCTGTCGACCAGGCTGGCCTTGTCTCAGAGTACTGGGATTAAAGGCATGGGATTACACACCCAGCCCTTTCAAAATTCTTAGGGTTGATTGGATTTGATTTACCAAAATTCAGTATCTTTCAAGAAAACATGCACTAAATGAAGTTAAGTACATTTTAACCCTCTCTGTGTATGTAAGGATATATGCACCATAGCATTTGATAAGAATATATATATTCTTATCAAACCCTATAGCCCTGGCTGTCCTGGATCGCTCTGTAAACCAGGCTGGCCTTGAACTCACAGAGACCCAAGCGCCTCTGCTTCTCAAGTGCTGGGATTAAAGACTTGAGCCACTACCACCACCAGGGGATAAGAATCTTACAAACCTTTAACTCATGTTGCTGTAAGAAGGAAAGCTACCAGATGTAGTGATTGGAGTAGAGCCAGGTTCCCTGAATTACCGACTTTTAATACACAGCAGCATGAGCACCTGCTGCAAGGAAAAGGGGGCAGTAGTGAGGTGACCGTGAGCTGGCACAGCGGTAGATAGTGGAGGGAGACACGGTGTCCATAGGCCCCACCTGCACCATCCACCACTACCCTCCCATTTCCCTCCTCTTCCCTTCCAGCATGGTAGGCTATAAGTTGTATTTGTGCCTGCTGTGTCCTGTTACGTCTCAGTTTGGGGAACCAAGTGCTGTGGGTGAAAGCTTGAGCAGCAGGTACATCAGCCCTGTCTGTCTGTGCTCACCCAGGAGAGAAACCTTTTATCTGTGAAATCTGTGGCAAAAGCTTCACCAGCCGCCCCAACATGAAGAGGCACCGCAGAACTCACACAGGCGAGAAGCCTTACCCCTGTGACGTGTGTGGCCAGCGGTTCCGTTTCTCCAACATGCTGAAGGCCCACAAGGAGAAGTGCTTCCGAGTGACCAGCCCAGTGAACGTACCGCCAGCTGTCCAGATCCCTCTGTCCACGGCGCCAGCTGCTCCAGCTCCAGCTGTGGCCAACACTCCTACGAGCCCAGCCCCCGCAGTCAGTATGAACCCCGTGGGTGGCGCGCTTCCCTCAAGGCCGGTCCCGCATCCTTTCTCGCACCTGCACATCCACACGCATCCACACCACGCACATCACCTCCCCATCCCACCCGTGCCTCACCTGCCCCCACCTCCGGCCCTCTTCAAGAGTGAGCCCCTAAACCACAGAGGCCAGAGCGAGGACACCTTCCTGAGGCATCTGACAGAGAAGAACAGCGCGCCCCAGGCCCAGCATCATTAGCGCCATCCGGAGTGCCATCCCCGTGGTGAGTTGGCAGAAGGGGTGCAGCTGTGCCTCTCTGGGGTCTCTCCGTCTCCATGGCCTCCTCCAGGACTTGGCCACTGTCCTGGTGAGCGGTCAGACTAAGCGAAGGAGAGAACAAGACGACTGCCCTCACAGCCAGGGGACCACTGAACTAAAGCCCAATGTGCTTGCATTTTCTGATGACTTTTATAAATTTCAGATACTCAGACTGCGGGATTTTATAATTTCATATCAGCGGATGAGGTATGCTTGCTTTTATATCCTGGTCTTCTCCTCAAAGAGGGGACAGGCCTGGTTTCCTTTATACTAATCGGGAAGGCTGTGAGATTAATCCAGAGCATTAACTGTATCACTGTGTATTGTAATGAGTTCTTTTCAGCTTTTGGTGCTGACTGCAGTCGAGCTGGCCGCATTTCACACAATATCAAGCATTATAGAGAAGATGGGAGTTTTCTTCTTTGTGTAGCTCTTTTAACACACTCTTTATTTTACTACAGAAATTATTTTAGAGTTTTTGTATAGACTTTAGTAGTCTGTTTCTAAAATGAAATGTATTTCAATAAGCTGTGTAATTTTTCAGTGTAGCTAAACCCATGTTGTAAAATAGATAAATTTTTATAATCATCAAAATGTGATTCTTAAAGATGCATATAGTAACTTCTATTTCAAATTTATTCTAACATCCATACAACACAAAGGTGCTTCTGGGACTGGGTGAGGGTCACCAGACCAGGTTATTGCAAGAGCAAGGTTCATAAGTACTCAGGAACTTACCATCTTTGCTGGGCACTCCGTCCATCAGCTCACTGACACGCTCCATCCCTGGTGTCCCTTTGAGCCCCTCTGTGGATTCAGTGGGGTGGTGCGTTGGAATAGGGTTACCAAAAGCTTGTCTGATTTGAAAATCTGAGTAACATTGTGAATACCTTCAGAAGGAAGTGGCAGAGGTTTCCTTTTGATCACGTCTGTTTCTCACTTCTCTTAGGAACTTTGTCATACTCAGCTGTTAGGGGAAGATAAATTGGCATCTCTAATTTTGAGGTTGCTGTGTTTCCCAGAACCATTAGGAGAAGCTAAATGGCAAACTGAAATCATAAGTGCAATTGCTGATAGAGGCTGAGAAATGCGAATGAGAAGACAAATTGGCTTCTAAGTTTTAAAATGTCTGCAGTGTCTAAAATGTGGGTGTCACTCTGATCTGCATCTGCCATTTAAATTGTAGTGAGAGGAAACCCCAGGTACTGCTGCCTCGTCGTCCTCTGCAGTTAGGCGAGGAAGGAGCAACACCCCTGCCTCTGGGCAACTTCCACAGGGCCTGGTCACCCTGGAACGGGTTGTATAGGAAGCTGAAGAGAAGGGCCGACAGTGGTTTCGGTCAGCTGGCAAATGTGGACCACGAAGCTACACGTTTTCTACTTCTTCACCTTAGAGACTGAGTTCCAAGAGTGGCCACTTCCCCTTCTCTTCCTCATTTCTCTTTCCTCAGGCTTGTAAGTCAGAACTTTAGCTGTTATTTATTTGTCTTTGATATGAAATGTGCAGATATACGTCACGCACTTTTTTTTTCTGGCCACTTAACTCTGGATGGGGACACATGGACTCTGGATTGAAGTTAGGTTCCTGCTTCTAAATATCATACTCTACATTAGCTTTTTGGTTTCTTATTTCTAGATTTACTGCAGTTTTACCTTTGTCTTCTGTAATGCATAGGAAAAATTATGTGCTGAGACAGGAAAGTATCTCAGGACACACCTTTCCTCCAGTTCTAGGCATAAATTTTAACGAATGGTAGTTTTAATATTTGTGTACATTCCTGGAGCCCCCATATACCCAAGCCAAATAGGAAGCCAGTTCCTTCTCTGCTCACTTTCACAGTCTCCTTTGCATCCCATGGAAAGTCTGCAGATCTACACTTTCTTGTAGACATATCAATATTTCATGGTCAAGTCTATAATATTAAAATATTTTTATCAAAAAAGTATGTTATAGTTTAGTTAATTGGTTTTATCTTATTTTGTGCTAAATACAGTATTGGACAGAGATTCTAAATTCTAGACTTGAGGCTGTTGAATCAACTATTTTATGGATGTACTATGAATACTCATTGAAAAATTCAGGTAGTCAGATCTGATTTTTTTTATTCAAATGACTATAGCCATAAGAAAGTTTCTGCTACATAGGAAATCCAGTAATAACTCAATAACCACCACTCTCCTTAACAGAAGCAGAAAGTAAGGAATTAGGAAAGTGAGTTAGCACTGTCACACTGTGTAATGCATTCTTACTGCAATGTATTGTGGAACAATCTAGAAATGCCAATTTTTTTTCTGGATAAGTATATCTTCCCTGACTTGGGATTTGTAAGAACCCTGTTCTTTAAAGCATGGCTCCCATCCGTGTCATGTATGAATAATGAACATGTGCATAGTGAAATTCACACCGCGGTGCTTCTGAGCCCAAGACCACAGGGTGGAGCCTGAAACATGCAGGCGCATTGGGTTTAACATGCTGAAGACTCAAACTCAGGGTTGAAAATGTGCTTGGGGGCCACTACTGAGATAAAAGTTGCATCATGTGTGTCCTCTCCATGTGTGCTGCGGTACCCCAAGGTTCTGCAGAACCTGTTCAGTTCTTGTTATCTGTTCATGGAAAAAGATTGTGGAGGAGTTTGAGTTCTAGGCCCATATCTGTACTTTTTTTTTTAAAGATATAGACCTTATTTCAAAATAACAGATATGAAATTGAGGCTTTCTTGTTGTCATTTTATACTATCTTCAAAGGCATGTATTGTCACAAGGATTACTTTATCTTCAAATGGTTTTTAATGTTACCAATTTACTTCTATGTAGACCAGGCTAGCCTCAAACTCACAGCTTGAGGACCGGGTCTAAAGGAGTGAACTACAGCAGCCAGCACCCAAGAACTTGTTGTTGTCATTGTTTTGAAAAATGGTCTCACAGAGCTGGCCTTGAACTCCCTGTGGATTACGTAATCTCCAGCCAATGAATCCCCCACCTCAGCTGCCCAAGTGCTGGGATTATGGGTGCCTTCGTCACCCTGCCTGGCTTCCACAAGGGCGTTTTTGAGTTGGCATTACATTTTTAGAGGCTGGGTTGTACATCTTTCATTCTTTTCTTATAGATTTATCATTTGGATACACACTTTTTTAGCCTAATGAAAGGCTGCTACTCTCAAATTGAGTCAGGTAGGCTCATACTGGGTTAGATTTTAAAACTGAATGAAGAGAAGATGAACCACTTAAAGGCATGTAGCTTCATTTTTCTGTATTTTTTTACTTGATTCTTATTTTTAGCAAGTGCAGAAGTCTCCATATAGAACTTTAATAAAGTTCAGAAAACCCTTTGAAAACCATTTCCATGCACTGCCGTGGTCCTTCAGCATGGGCCTTCCCAGAGTTGCCCGTCTAAGAACCTCGCTTCTGAGAGTGACCCACACACACTGCTAAGCAGACACAAACTCTCTGAAGCTTTGAATTTTTAACTTTTTTAACTTTTTTTCAGTTTTTATTATTGTTGAATAGATATGTATTTAGTTTCATTTTTATCTCACTGGAAGATTTAAAATTTGAGAATATGAAGTAGAGAACTCCATTGCAGAGAGAGAGAGAGAGAGAGAGAATTTATTCCTCTCTTGCAGATTTTGGTTAGGAAAACACACTATGATAGGTGAGTTTTTATGGCAAAGAGAGAAAAGCTAAAACGTCTATCAGAAGAGCCCATTTCAGTTAAAGCTTCTGTTTAAGCTGCTGTACAGAAATACCACTTTTGTTGCTTTGATGGTCCACATGATAGAGATTTTAATGCTGTTCCAGACTATATGTGGGACACATCATGAAAAGAGGTGTGTTAGATCTAACCATTTTATCAACTTAAAAAAAAAAAGATCAGAAATCAGTTGGAATTCTTCAAACTCTAAAGTGGAGTAAAGAACTACCATTTTTTAAGTTTTTTTCTTTACTTAAACTAAGTTAGAAAATTTCCCAAGAATTCTCTCTCTCCATCTTTTTCTTTCTTTTTCAGGAATAAAAGGTCATTGGCCGTTAGAAATAATGGCATTGTTACGCAGTAGCAACTCACTAGCTAGTCTGCTTGTCATCCGTAGCATTCATGAGAAGTAACGCTGACCTTCCAACCCTGGAACTACCTCGATAAAGCAACCCAGAGATCCTCGCTACACTCTATGGAAGCCATAAACGTTGTCAGTCTGGCCACCTTTGCAGTTCTATACTTTTGTACTCGCTAGACTTTTTTATAGACTTACATTCAGACCTTTTCATCTTAGAGGATAGCTTTTGCAAGACTCCAAGGAAAATAAAATTCCTTAAATTCCCAACCTTGAAACTCTAGTTTCAGTAAATTTGTTTAAAAAATCAGATGCCACACTATTTTAAAAAATCACGTTAAAATTAGAACTGCTTTGCAGACCTACATATTCTGCAAACAAGTTCCTCTTTCTTGTTTCCTCGCTGGAGGCTGTGATAAAGTGGAGTTTTCCACTCTGCTCACTCAGTGACGTTTTCCTGGAGCTGTCTCTCTCACTGTAGCACAGGAGTGAGTAGTTGCTGTCCGTCTGACCCTCTGCTGTCTATCACTCTGCTCTCGAGTGCCTTCAACAAGCCCGTGTCCTGGAGCCTTCTTTCCCTGGTCTGGATCCTACCTCTGATTGTTTCATTCTCCATGAGTATTGGACTTCACCCTTATTCCAAAGGGCTTAGCTACAAACTGGCTAAAACCTGGCTGAGGATTGTGAACACATCTGTGTTTTGGTCCTCCATATTGCTGCTGGGTTAGCCTTGTAGCTTCTCTGCTTGTCTTACCCCCCACATACGACACCTTTAGTACTAGAGCTGTTCTTGTCCTTTGCCACCTTTCTGTTCTTTCACTGCAGGCTGGGTGTTCCTGTACAGTCGAAGGTCATCCAGTGTCTCTCTGGGCCATCTCTTTCTCCTCTGAAGTCTTCCTGAATGCCTACCCTTTCAAATTAAAGGAATGCTGAATGCTGCTATTGCTGCACATCCTTCCTCTCATAAATGTTTTACAGGGTTCCTCCCGTGATCTTATTTTAGTCATAGGAACTTAAAAGTGCTCTCGGGGTTTAACAAAAGTCCGTCGTTGATTTTTTTGAGCAGCCCCTCTCATCCAGCCCCCTGTCCTCCGTGCAAACCCAGTTTATTTTCCTTCCTAGTTGTCTTCTTACAAGTCATTTAAAAAGTGGAATTGGTGTATAAATATATGAAAGATGTAATAAAAAGGAAACCGAAGTGTGATTTGTGTGTAGTATGTGCACTTCATTGATAAGAATTCCTCTAGCAGCTGGCTGGTCTAGCTCATCCCAGATCAAAGCTGGTGCTGTGTGATGGGTTCATTGTCTCCTCCTGAAGTGGAGACAGACGAGCTCCTTCAGAGAGGGAACTGGAATTCCTTTTTGTAGGTGAGCGAACACTAATGAGCATTTTTGACCTTGTCTTTGCTTTCTGACTTACAAGCTCTTGCCTCGATCCTTAAAGTTATTGGTACTGAGGCATCCAGGACTGATAGCTGTATGAGGCAGGCATCTCAAAAGGCAGCTGTTGATAAATTTGTAATACTTTTTGTCTGGAACAGACAGGATGTTAATTGGTGGGGTAGTACCAAATTGTGAGAATCGGTTCGATAATATAGAAGTCAAGACGTTTGAATGTTTCACTGGCTGTTTAGAACGAGAGCAGTACGCAGACTGTCAGATGTAGATTCTGGACTGGAGAAGTCACTAACTAGCTTCAGCCTTGCTGTTTCCCACCCGTGGTCTAGACAGTCACTTCTGGAGCACCGGATGCCTAAAAGTACTTGCTTTTAGACCTGCTAGTTTTCTCTGCAGAGTCCCAGGCTTTCGGGTAGTGGAGAGCCATACCCCTGGGAAAGGAAGGCCGCTTGTCTTGTGTTATTAGGATGCCTTTGGCCAGGTATCAGAGAAATCCTGCCCCCTCAGAGGTGTTCCATTGCTTAACGCCAGGTTACCATCGTCCTATTTGAGCATCTGGTGAGATCGGGAATGTGACAAGTTACTTGAAAATGATTTTCATAGGAAATGGAGATGCTCAAAAGGATCTGGAAGCTGGGTTTTGCTTAATGTCCAAAGGAAATCTGATGCTTGTGTTGGCTGGTTTCAGTGGAGTCAAGAGCCGGCCTGTCCGGGTCTGAGAAGAGGCAGCTTGTTTCTGCATCCCTGGCTCTCCTGGATGAACAAGGCTCTCCAGTCTGCCTTGTAGGAGAATGGGGCTGTGTAGCCAGAAGCAGGGTCTCACTCACACCCTGCATAGGACCTGAGACTACTTGGCAGCATTGGAAAGTATCTTCCCATATATGATTGCTCACTTTAGCTAAGTTGAAAAGAAAGAAACAGTGTAGTGTAATATGTGTTTACTTCTCAAGTTCTATCACCAGATACTTCAGAAAATCAAATCAATTCCACAAATTTGAATATAAATTTTTTTCATTTTTTGAGCTAATTCTATCCATCTGCAGTACTTGTTTTGACCATAAGGGAGCGCTAAAGTACTTTCCTCTCAGCTTTTAAAGCCCTTCTAGGATATTGCTTGGCTCACTGAATTTGATGAAAACGTTTTCACATATCTCTAAGTTCAGTAGTTGCTCGGGCCTCATGATGGGAGCAGAGATTCCTGGGTCTGAGCTCTGTGTGGGCCAGGCAGCATAGTCATCCAGCCTTTGTTAATATTGGTGACATGAGATTGGAAGTGGGGCCCCTGTCACGAAGGATCCAGTGTTTACTAACTAAATGCAGAGCTGAAAGGCACCCCTCCTCCCTATTTCCTCCTCTGCGTCCCATTGCGGCCCAGCACCGTCCCATCTGTGACTGAGGACTGCTGGAGTGTGTGTACGGGCACATGGTCTCACTTGGTCTGCTCCAAGTCAGTATCGGTTATACCAGGTCTTCCAGTTGAGTGGGGAGGCCTCCCACAGCATGCACCCCTTCAGGCCAGAGTTTCCTTGTCTTTGGGCTCCTGGCCCTCATCAGCTAGCTCTCTGGGAATTTTGATTGTGCTCATTGCGCATCTTCAGATGAAAAGTTGGGTATCCACTAAGGGAAACACCAGCCGTGAACATTTACCCTGTAGGATCAGGAAGTATTTACCAGTGGAAGGGCATCCCTTACTGATTTCCTTCTTCCTGGTCCCTTTTCCCCAGCAAGACCCAAGAACCTGATCAATGCTGGATGCATAGAGTTGGGGGCTCCTTGTAATTCCAGCCCTGGGCAGAAGCGGAATGGAAGCTGTGAGCAGGTTAGGTAGCAGGTGGCTGTCCCCATAGTGCTGAGGTCACTTGTACTTTCTCTTTTCTTAAAGGAAGTCCAATTTGCTCGCCGGGATCTTTAGCCTTAGGTTTACAAAGCTTGCTGTTGAATGTCTGTCCAGATGAGTAGGAGAAGAGAGCAGCTACTCGCTTCCGGTCCTGCCTGCAGAGTCAGAAGACTGAGGCAGTGTCTCTCTTGTCTCTGTAGAGGCGCAGGTGAAGGTCAAGTCAAGGTGGGACTTAGTGAAGGCAGGTATCTGGCATGCTGTAAAGAAGCTTAGAGGACCTTGGGGGGTTGGCAGGTGGGTAGGACAGGAGCTCTTGAGATGGGAAGCGTGGCGGAAGAGGAGGGCTGCTTGGCCCAGGGAGCTGTGTGATGGGTGGAGTTAGGCCGCCTCTGAGCTGGCCCACAAGGCCTGGCGTCCTGTCCAGTCCCCCGCGGTGATAAGTTTCTTCCTTGTGTTGAGTATACCAATATTTTTTTAGCAATGAAATGCACTTTTTTTATTTCAATTCAATCATGATTTTAAGTATAAAAAAATTTATAGATTGTTAAAACTACTTTTTGTGTATTTTTAACCACTCAATGTAGCACTGTATATTTTATTCTTATTAAGACTCTGGTACAGGTGTGCCATATAATGATTTTTCCCAACATGCTGGGCCTTTGGATGTGTACGGTAACCAACTTCATGCTAATGTTCAAAGTAAAAGAGAAGAAAAAGTAGCCATATTCCTATGTGTCTTTCTTCGTTTCTTCCTTCCTCAGATGACATTCTGAGGGTCCCTTGGTTAATGACTGCTCATTTTATATAAAATAATCCTGCAAGCCACACCTGGATTATTGGTTGGTATCTCCGGTTGGTAGCACCTATCACAAGCCCCAAATGCTGCCTGAACTTTTATGAATAGCATACTTCCTGTCACCTGCCCGCCCAGTCCTGGTGATTGCATCCCGAGCTTGTGCCGCTGCTACCCCCTCAGCCCTCGTCTCACTTTGGATTTTGACCCAGGGTCTTATTAAGTTGCCCAGGCTAGCCCTGAACTCACTCCGGAACTCAGGCAGGTCTTCAACGTGCCGTCCTCCTGTCTCAGCCTCCTGAGTGTCTGGGCTCACAGGTCTGCACCCCCAGGTTCAGCTGAGTGGCATGCCTCCCAGGCTGGCAACCACAGTTAACCTGATGTCCCCTCTGCAGTGTTGCTGCCTTGCTGCTCCTCGGCTGCAGTAACACTGCCCTGACCAGCTGAGCAGGAATCACAGAACTTCCGAGGGGGTGTTTGGGAAAGGATCAGGATCGGCTATAGCCCAGCTAAACACAGGGCAGCTTATCAAGTGTAGTTAGTGAACGGTAGCAATGGGAAATTCAGTACTCGAGGCAGCTCCTTTCCTCACCCCCACCCAGTTCAGTCACCCCTGCCCAGTTGACTCCCTCAGCTAGTCACACCACGTGTGTCCATTGAGTGCTTGAATCTAGGACCCAGAGAGTCGGCAGTGGGCGAGGGAGGGAGGGAGTCCTTACTGTCTGGGAGTATGCTTTCCAATGGAGACAACCTGACAAGTATTTATGTCAACTGAGTTTGGAACCAAAGCCTATAATTTAGCCACTTGGGAGGCTGAGTCAAGAGGATCACAAAGTCAAAGGTTACCTGGAAAACTTAGCGAGACCCTGTTTCAAACAAACAAACAAACAAACAAAAAAAAAAAACAAGAAGAGCTCTAGAGTTGGTGTTGAGTACTTACCTGGCTTGAGTAAGATCCTGGATCCTATGCTTAGTACTGGGGGAGGGGCTGAATGAGTGCATATATATATTTAAAATTATGTAATGTGGTTTCAGGTGATGTGGGTCCCTGCAACCTGAAGCTTGCCCTCTGAGATAGGGCTGTGCCAACTGGAAGATAAGCCAGCTTTGTCACAAGCCTTCCCAGCTCACATCCACCCTGTTTGTTCCTTTTCCAGGATTCCAATCAGGATTCCAATTAGGGATTCCAGTGTCTTGGAAGGAAACCTTATTGTTCACATTTCCCTCTGCTTGAAACCTCTTAGAATGGAACAGAGCTGAGCAGACCACAGAATTGCCATTTTTACTCTCTACTTTTTTTAAGGTGTGTGTGTGTGTGTGTTTGTGAAGGTGCCCTAGGAGGCCAGAAAGAGGGTGTCAGTTCCCCAGACCTGGAGTTACTGGTGGTTGTGAGCTACCCATTGTGGGCACTGAGGGTTCTTAACTGCTGAGTCACCTCTCCAGTCCTTTTGTATCTGACAGATATTAACACACTGTTTTTTTTTAAAAGATTTATTGTGTATACAGTATTCTGTTTGTGTGTATGCCTGCAAGGCAGAAGAGGCACCAGATCTCACTATAGATGGTTGTGAGCCAGCATGTGATTGCTGGGAATTGAACTCAGGACCTCTGAAAGAGCAGCCAGTGCTCTTAACCTCTGAGCCATCTCTCCAGCCCCTCATTTTGCTTTTGAGATAAGATCTCACAGTAACCATGGTTGGCAGGAAGTTCCCTGTAAAGATCTGCTTACCTCTGCTTCTTCAGTGCTGGGATTAAAGGGTGCACCACAGCACCAGCTGGTTTGTTTTTGAGACAGATTTATGTAGCCATGGCTACATACTTCTTGTTATGTGTTTGAAGGTGACGTTGAACCTCTGTTCGTCCTGTTTCCAAGTGCTAGGATTGTAGGTGTGCCCACTGTGCCCAGCAACACGTTTTTCTTATTAGTACATGCTATAGCTGCCTCTACCCGAGCACATATTACATCAGTGGCTCTAGACATTGACCACAACTTTAGTAAGAAATATATTTATGGCTGGCTGGTGATGGCGCACACCTTTGGATCCCAGCCCTTGGGAAGCAGAGGCAGGTGAATCTCTGAGTTCAAGGCCAGCCTAATCTACAGAGCGAGTTTCAGGACACTGTGCTTTTATTTATATATTTATTTGAGACAGTTCCACTGTGTGCCTCTGGCTGACCTGAAGCTCACAATACAGCACAGGCTGGCCTGGAGCTTATACTTCAACCTCAGCCTGCCGAGTTCTAGGATGACTGAACCACCAGGCCCAGCTGTATCTCAGTTTATCTGCCTGCTGATGCGAGTGTGTGCCTGCTCGTTCATGAGAGAGAGCATGTGTGTGTGTGTGTGTGTGTGTGTGTGTGTGTGTGTGTGCTTGTGTCAATAGGCCAGAGGATAGCCACAGCTGTCACCCCCAGGAATGTCATCTGCCTCCTTTGAGAAAGGGTCTCTCACTGAACCTTGAGCCCACCAGTTAGGCTAGACTGGCTGTCCAGCAAGCTCCAGTGATGCTCTGTCTCTGCAGCCCTGGGGTTATAGTGAATGCCACCAAAGCCTGGCCTTCAGTGTGGATTCTCAGATGAACTCTGGCAAGCCCTTTACAGACTGAACTGTCCTCAGCCCCTGGCCTTATTACTTTTTTTTTTAATGTGAATCATGAGCCCCTAAATTAATTTTGAGGCTCATTAGTGCGTCTTGTTTGGAGTACAGAACCCTGTCCCGCAGCAGCGAATGTGCACAGCTCGGTTCCGTCCCTTCGCAGCAGCAGCCTGAATTCAATTTTACAGACAATCAGGCTATTTTAACTGGATTTCCCAGTGTCTTAGCAGTGTCTTTCTCTGACTGCATCCAAACTGCAGGCCCCTGTCTCCTGCAGTGCAGAGCTTTACTCCCAGACACTTGTAGTCTCTTCTCACTGGAGACCATACCCCATTACCAGTACCGTAACAGGTGGCTAACTACTAGTACTTCTTTGCAATTCCCACATAGGCCTTCTCTTGGGAAATGGGTTCTGTGCATTGAACCCAAGGGCTTACACTTCTCAAGCAAGTGCCCTCAACTTAGCTACCTTCCAGGCCCTTCATACCCCATCCTTTCTAGGTTATTGTGACTTTTAAAAAAGTTTCTTTGTAGTTCCAGAACAGGCTCTAAAGCCACAGCGAAACCCTGTCTCGAAAAAAAACAAAACAAAACAAACAAACAAAAAGTTTCTTTGTGCTGGGCACAGTGCACAGCTTTAATCCTAGCACTTAGGAGGCAAAAGTGGGTAGATCTCTGTGATTTCCAAGTCAGCCTGGTCTTCAGAGTGAGTTCCAGGCGAGCCAGGGATACACAGTGAGACCCTATCTCAATAAAACAAAGCAAAACCTTTATAGTGTGTCAGATTTCATCAGATGCCCCGTGTGTGGAGCCATCTGGCAGCTTCTGCCTTTATTTCCTTGGAACATGACTCCCGATAAAGACACAGACTTGGAAGGTGGCGCAGCAGTTGAAGCGTTTGCCCCGCAAGCCCGAGGACCAGCGTCTAGATTCTCCCAAACCCACAGGCATACTGAGTGCAGAGAGGGGATCCCCAGAGCAAGCTGACTAGCAAGACTAGCCATACCGGTGAGCTCAGTCAATAAGTGAAGGAACCGTGCAAGATGGTTCCTGACGTCAGCCTCAGGCATCCATGTGCGTGTGCACATGTGTGTATACACGGAGAGACGTGAAGAGGGAAGGGGGAGCCCAGGCTATGATCAGGTATGGTGGCAGCGCACACCTCTGCCCGCAGCACTTCCGCAGTGGAGGCCGGAGGGTAGAAGACCTGCAGTGCTCCAGGTCAGCTGACCCAGCAGCTGATGGCATGCTCAGAGCCCCAGTGAGCAGCATGGGGACCTTCAGAATCTGGGACATCAGATGTGAGACGGACAACAGTGGGGCAGCAGGAGGTAACTTGAAACGGTCCACAGATTTTGGTCTACACAGCCGTACCCCCTTCTCCGCTGCACCCCCTTCTCCCCTGCAACCCCCATACAAGAAGTGAAATACTCTTGATTCCAACTGTCAGCACTTAGATTTGTTTCTAGACCTCTGCTTCCTCTATTCTGTCCTGTAGGAAGGAGGAGGGATTTTACCTATACAACCATTTCAAGTTTCCCCTCGGGCATGAGCCCCATGTTCTGTTGCCAGCCCCGTTCCTGAACTCCGCAGTCGGGACATGCCAGGTTTTCCAGCCCTCTGGTGGGCCCCAGTTCAGCCCTACTCATCTGCGCGACCTAGATTCTTCCCGAGGTCTGCAGAAGGGGATCTTAGAGCAGAGGAAGCAGGAATGCATGGGCTTGTTCCCATCTCTCCAGTGGTTCTCAACCTCCGCAACACTGTGACCCTTTAATACAGATCATGTTGTGATCTCCAACCATAAAATTGCTTTATTGCTACTTGGTAACTATAACTTCGCTACTGTTATGAATCACAATGTAAATCTCTGATAGGTGACCCTGTGGGAGCCCCGAGACACAGGCTGAGAACCCCTGAATCATAGTCCGTGGCTGTGAGTAAGCAAGCTAGCCACTTGGAGCTTATTGCCGTGTCTGCAGGTGGTGGCATTCCTAACCACTGCCATAAGGTCACCATGAGGATTCAGTGAAGCCGTGCAGGGGAAGGACTCAGCTCAATGTTTGCCAGGTGTCCCTGGTGCGGCCACACCCTTTAACAACCCCCTCGTTGATTTGGCTGGTATCCAGTGACCTCCCTCTGGTACGTGAGCTATGACAGAAGTGACTGGATGCCAATGACAAGGTAAAACAGAGGAAAACCCAAGAAATTTAGCCTGGGGGTGGAGGCTGTGATCCCAGTCCTCAGGAAGTCAGGTCAGGGAAGGCAGAAAGTCCAAGGCATCCTCAGCTACGCAGTAAGTCCTGAGCCAGTCTGGATTATATGACACATAATCTCAA